ACAGCTAGATAGAAACCATAACAGATGGGTATTGGGTGGTAACTCACAGTGAAGTCACAATAAGTTTCTTTAAAAAGTATCTCTTTATTATTATGACAATTTTATAACATTATTATAATTAACAAATTCACCATTAGCATTTGGACAAGATTAACTTTCCAGTGTTAGTTTTGATGGCATTGCTGTCCTTATTTGGACAGTCATCGAGTTTGACAAAGACTATGAGCTCACAGGCCAAAATACTATGAAATTATTATAGCTCTATTTATTCACTTATTCATATTCCTTTCATAATTACTGTATGAATGTCATTGTACTAGCTATTGGATGAAAAGAGCCCCAAGTGTGCAGAAAAATAGTAATCTTTTCTTTTTGCTTTCTTTCTTTCTTTTTTCTTTTCTTTTTTTTTTTTTTTTTGGTGGTAGTGGTGATACTGAGTATTGAACCCAGGCTCTCCTCTATGGTAATCAGATGCTCTACCACTGAGCTATACCCCTAGCCTGGAAAATCAATAATCTTCATACCAATTTAGAAGGACAGTTCAAGACAGGAAATTTATAAGCCTGTCTCGCTCAGAAGCATAATTTCAAGTATCCTAACCAAGACACTGGCAAATTTATAATGAGTGGAAGAAGACTTACACAAAAGATTACTTACCTTATGATCCCACTTATCGGAAAATTTTGTTCAGAACTAATCTACAGTGAAAACCAGAACAGTGCTTGACTCTGGTGGGTGTCGGGGTAGGAACTGATTACAATTGGACACAAGTTCATTTTAGGGAGGATGGAAATGTACTATAGGGATTCAGGTTTCACAGTAATATGTCTTTGGACTTGATCACCGAAGAGTGCTGAAGCAAGAATACACAAGGTATAATATGGAAAATGTGCTCAAGGAGAATGAGATTCTACATATGCCTTCAATGATGTTTTTACTAGACAGATTCTGTGCAATATTCAGTGTTAGGTGCTAGGAACAAAAAATGTGGTAAGATAGAGCTTTTCCCTTCAAAAAGTGATGGATTGATTGCAGTAGCAGGAATTGAATGAGGGGTACTCAAGCACTTAGCTACATCTTTAGCCCTTTAATATTTTTTTTTTTGAGTTTATAGTCTTACTATGTTGATCAGGCTAGACACAGATAAGCTTGTGATCCTTCACCCTGGAATTATGGGCTTGAGCCACCAACATCTGGCTGAAAAAGTGATCCTTAAACTGGAAGTTCTTATCACATGCCTATGGAAGGTAAATGAATAAATAAATGAATGTATAGAACCAGATCAACTCTAACTAAAGAATAAGTATAGTAATTAAAAGGCAGTTTAAAAATAGAAGCTGAATTGTAAAGTATTAAAGAAAAAGGATATATTGAGTACAGAATATGTCTAAGCAGTTTGGCAGAATGTTCCTTCTCAATTTCAGAAACTTTATAATTAGCAGCTGTCATTACAACATATGTATACTTTTCAGCACTACTCAGAAGTTACATTTCTTAAGTTTGTGGTAAGATTGGGTAAGAATATAGGTTTTTTTTAGCATTTTCTGCAAACATATTTCTCCATCGTCAGTATCGAATTGTACCTTGTCTTTGCATTATGCAAATCCATATCTTTTTTTTGTGGAGACAGGGTCTTGCTATGTAGCTCAGGCTGGCATTGAACTCACTATGTAGCACAGACAGGCCTCATACTCAAAGTGATCCTCTTGCTTCAGCCTCTAGTGTGCCACCACGCCTGACCATCCATAGTCTTTTGTCCTCAGGAGAACAACCTGCATCTGTAAAGCTGCCTAAATACTTTATTCATTCATTTATTCATTAATTCCACAGATGGTGATGGTGTCCTCATAGAACAAATCCTGCTCTAGGCACTCAGCATATATAAACACAATAAGCCTCTCTGAGTTTGATCAACTATATTCTACCCAGAGAAGTCAAATAAGAAAAATAAATAATAGATTAGTAAACTATACAGTATGTGTCAAGGTTATAAATGCAAAAGTAAAGAAAAATTAAATACATAATTAGAATAAGGGGAATCAAGAAAGAGTATCTGAAAGTGGGATAAAGGGAGGCTATGATTATAAAAAGAGAAGTTGGGGTGGGCTTTCTTGAGCTGACATTTGAACAAACATTTGAAATGGTGCAAGAATTCCATGAACCTAAGAAGGGAGCCTTCAAGCAGAAGAGCAAGGGTGACGCTTCAGTTGAGAGGCATGCCTGGTATGTTCAGAAATGCCCAGAGAGGCCAGTGGACAGAAACCAAGGAAGGCTTCATGTGGGAGAAGATATTTCAGGTTGATTTTGAAGAACGTTTCTTAGTCAAAAGGGCCAGCAATTCCAGGAAGTGAAGACAGTCTGCCTGCCTATTCTGCTAGGACAGACACACCCACCCTACCTGCTAGGTCACAGGGCCCTTTAGTCACATACTCAGCCGTTCTTTCTCTCCCAGTCTCATGCCCTCACTTCATCTCAACCCACCTAAGCCCATCCCCGCTACACTATCCATAAAAAACCCAACTCAAGAGACTGGACTCAGACTCCACTGCAGTTACTCCAGAAGGTCCCTTCTGGAAACTCCAAGAGGTCCTGTCTGCAAACCCCAAATTCAGACTGTCTGTGTTCTTAACTGGGTTGCCACCCTAAGTGGTACATTGCTTACCAGAATAAAATCAAGAGATAAAGAAATTAATACCTGGTGAAGAGGCAACTAAAAATAGCATATTCCACAATGACAAAAAATTCCATAGACAATATGGTTTCCACATGGTAACAAGTCCTATTGAGAAAGAATGACAGACACTTTTATTTATGAGTTTTACCATATAGTGACAGCATGAATATGGTTTACAATTCTACCCTCTACCATTTTTTATTTATTTTCTAATTTTTATTGGTACATGTTTGCAGTATATAATGATTATACTCCTCATGGGAAGTTGATGCACATCTTAATTCTTTTTCTCATTCCTCTTTGCTTCTATTCCTCCCTCTCCCTCCCTCCATCTCTTCTGTCCCCTTATCTACCATTTTTTAATTTTTCAGTTTTTGTAAATATTTTCAGATGTTGAGTTGCATTTTAAATTTTGTATACCAATAGATGTTCCTATATTGTATATCACCCTTTTTACTTTTAATAATTCAAATTTTCATTGTATGCCACTGCACTATACTCGATGCATGATTAAATTTATACTGTTTTAGCATTCTTTCTTTAGCTTGAATCTTTGCTTATATTGGATTATTTGCTTATTCGTTTGATTTCCACACCAGAATGATGTAATTTTTTTGTAGAGGTCTTTCACTTCCTTGGTTAGGTTAATTCCTAAGCATTCAATTTTTACTTGACGCTATTGCTAATGGTATTATTTTCCTAACTTCTTTCTCAGTGAGTTCATTATTGGCCTGCAGAAATGCTATTGAGTTTTGTGTATTGATTTTGTATCCTGCTACACTACTAAATTTGATTATTAATTCTAGGAGTCTTTTGGTGGAATTTTTCTTGATGCTATTGTGGATGGGATTATATTGGGTATATATACTATATTTTCTTTATCCATTCATCCTAACTGGTGGACACTTAGGTTGACTCCATATCTTGGCTATTATGAATAGTGCTACAATAAACATAAGAGTGTAGATGTCTCTTCAACATGCTTATTTCATTTTCTTTAGATATATACCCAGAAGTGGGATTTCTGAAGCATATGGTAATTTTATTTTTACTTTTTTGAAGAATCACCATACTGGTTTCCAAAATGGATGTACTAATTTACTTTCCTGCCAACAGAAGACACCACTTAATTTTAAAAGCCATATCTTTTTATAATAATATTGTAGGAAAAGTACACTATGTATTCCTGTTAGCTGTGAGCACTAATATATCTTATTTTGATCTCAGAAACCATCAATTACGTAGAGAAAGATATTTTTAGACTAGATAACATATGGTGTTATAAGGTTATTTTAGCTCTTTTTGCCCAAACCGCCTCATTCTTATATAAGTATATGCACATGAGCTCATAAATGAAAAGATACAATATTTTGTTCCAGTGCCCTTTGACAATCCATAGCACCACACCTTGAAAAAAAAGTATAATTCAATAAATATAACTCCCCTGAGCCACTGAAAAGTAGTGACCTCATGTGGACAGAGCCTGGCTTTCCAGGGGACTCTGGTGGCCTCTTACTGCCCTGAGTTAGCCCTAAGTGGTTTGTTGAGCTCCTGTGTTTGGATATGCCAAGTTCCTAAAACCTCCACAAACAGAAGGAAAAAAGGCCCTTCCCAAGAAATCCACCTCACCAGACAATAGGTGCCTTCAGCTGTCTCTGCACCCAAAAGAGGGGAAGTAGAACTACAGGACAGAACATGTGTATGTCAGTGGAAGGAGCTTGGGGCAGGTGTAGTGAGCAGCTGTTCACTCCTCTCAGCTCTTTCTAAAGCTTCTGAAAGCATTTCCTAGGGGTGCTGGAGAAACCATAAGGACCCAGCAAGGATGGGAATGGAGCTGCACTGCTAATAGTGTTCCCTGCTGTGCAGGTGTAGGCCTGATCCAGATCAGGAAGGCTCCAAGAGTTACTGAGGACGGTTCCATCAGTGTCCACCTGCATGTGATGGTCCTTCCTACTCCCTACACAAGACACCTCAGGGTGTCACTACAGATTCTATTTTCAGAGATGATGGAATCCACCTGCACTTGAGGCTGCTTTGCTTGAAAAAATTGTTTTAAAAAACACAAACAAGAGTAAAGGGTCTTTCTAGGCCACACTGGGAGTAGAGGACTTAGATTTAAGTCCACAGAAAACAACACAGCAAAACATCCAACCACTTTAGAAAAATGATCTCTGTTCATTCATTTGCATTTCTTGTGTATATGTGTGTTTTTCAAACAGCTACAACCACACCCATCAGCCAAGATTGGCCAGAGACTGGAGAAGGACAAAAGGCCAAAAAGAAGTATTCACCTCAGAAGGGTTCTGCACTGGCCAAAAGAGTGAAACTAAGGGACTACGTTCACCAAAGGTCATCTGGCCCTTGAGGCTCATTGGTCACTCTTCCCACCTTTCTCACCCTTCCCACCCTTCCCTTAGAGGTAGGCACCTGGTTTCCTACACCATTACTCACCGAAGATCTTCAGGGTGTAACTGGAAAGCACCCGAGAGGACTCTGTATTTGTCATGGATATGCAAGAGCCCGACTCTGCCATCATCAGATTGCTGAGATCCACGGAGTAGGACCAGGTGAAGCTCACTTGCTCTCTCCATTTGGGATTTGGTCTCAGGAATCATGGGCTTCCAAGTTCAGTTAGTGGCATGAAGGTGCTAAGTATGTCACTGTAATGCCAGATCACAACTTTGAACTTTTCTCCTGCAGGCAACTTTAGAATTACTGATTCCTGCAGAATCCTACTCACTACCAATGAGGTCGAGCTGCTTTGTGAAACTCTGCCCCTTCCCAGGATTTGAGTGCCTTGTATGGAAACCCTAGGTAAGACAGATCTCAGCCCTGGCCTACCTGACCCCTCTTTATCCATAGCCCTAGATTTTAAAACTCATTTGGGGATGGGGATGTGGCTTAGTGGTAGAGTTCTTGCCTTGCATGCACAAGGCCCCAGGTTCGATCTCCAGCACCACAAAGATAAAACAAAAGAAAACTCATGAGTTCTTATTTCCTTATTGCTTCTCTCTATAACTGGTGTTTTACAGTTCAGGTGTCTCAATGGTATAGGGCAGTGGTGGTGAACCCATGGCCTGAATGCTGAGGTGAGCACACAGAACTCTCCCTGTAGGCCAAGTTGCCCTATCATCACCCCAGCACCTGAGTATGAGATAAGAGCACATACAGGGGCCACGTGAATGCTCAGAAAGGCACCAAGTGATGACATCATGATCCACAACTCATTAGCCAAGACTTGTCAGAGCTTTGGCACAGTTGGTCAGTATTCAGATTTAATTGCACTGTTGGCACTTTGCAATAAATAAGTGGGTTTGAGGTTGTATTTTGGGCACTCGGTCTCTAAGAGTTTTACCATCACTGGTATAAGGTGACAGGATACTTGCTTCTTACTCCTGATCCTATTCTACTGAGATGTGCACCTTGGAGAAGCTTGTTGATTTCTCCAGGTTCTTCTTTTTCTTTTTTAAGGAGCAAAAATGCAAAAACTTTCCTATTTCTTTCAACATTAGCATTCACAATGTCATTGTTCTACCATGTTTTCCTGAAAATAAGACCTAATCAGACTGACCTAACTGGAATCAGCCTTAGCTGCTCATTGCCATGTGATGGCCAGTGTTATGTAGAAGATTATGCCTCACTATTCTCTTGCTCAGTGGCTCCTCTGTAATGGCAGGGAAGGCTGATTAGGGCTGGCATTTTTTTTTTCTAGCTAGATCTTATTTTTGGAGAAACATAAAATATATCTTAGATTTTTCTTTTTCTCTTCTTCCTTCTTCACCCTCTAATCCTTTTCTCTCATGTCCTAGAATTTGTCAGTTTCTTCTTTCTGTTTGTCCCCCAATCTCTCTAGCACGGTGGTCACACTTCTGGGAAAGGTCTTATTGGGCAATGCCCACATGGTATCACCACCCAGTTCAAGCCATAAGAGAGAACTTGGCTCACTCACTTTCTATGACTGGAGAAACAGGAAGACGAGAAGAAACTGAGGCAAAAGACCACAGATGTCACAGCCTACTGGGTTTGCTGTTAAGATTTCGAGGAGTTCAGAGTGAGGTGGAAGAGAGCGTGAGCCCTGTTCTACAGTGCAGACAGCTAACAGCTGAATCTCTGTTAGTACACGTTTGTTAATCACTTCTTATTAGTTTTTTCCCATTGACTCAGACACTTACTTCAGTTTCCGTCCTTAAAGACATAAATAGTTTAAAACATTATGTGCTTAACAAATGGTTCTGATACAATTGGTTAGCTGTTTTTTAAAAAAACAATTTAGATCCTCCTATTTATAACACAAAGCACACCTGAATGGTTTACAAAGAATAAAGAACAAAACTACCACAGTACTGCTATCTCCAGTAAGTGCTAGGAATTAAGTAGACTGCTCTCTTAGAGTTTTCCCAACAATGCACTTTTTGAAGAAGTGCAGTACATGACCTCAGCAAGAAAATTCTGTCAGCAGAGTTGACAATGATGACCTTGTGTTATCTGACTTTGACTCCACACCGTCTAATATCTACGTGACTTCCGACTGTCTGAATATGCAATCTATGTTTGGCCCAGTGCTTCTTTGCACCTGTCAGCAGACTTTGCTTCATGAATTATCCCAGATACTATTTAACAAAAACCAATGAAACCTAACTTGGGATGGGAATGTGGAGATGTGCTGGAAGAATAAACAGCCAAGGGCAGGAGTGCAACCGGGACTCAGAAAGCACTGCATCTAGAAAATGAACACTAAGGAGAAAATAAGTAGGACTCTGGCTTTTGACTCTGTTCTCCAGGTCATGCATTCTTCTCTTTCTGGATCAGCTCTATCTCCTAACCAGTACAGTATGGGCTGTAGTACACAACCATTTACAGGGCCAACACTGTCCAAAGGCTCATTTCCCTTGTTTCAACTCATCTCCTTTCGCTCAGCTCAGCTCAGCTCCTCTCCCTCTCCCTTCCCTTCCCTTCCCCTCCCTCCCCACTGCCCTTCTCCCTCCCCCTCCCCGTCTCCCCTTCTGTCCTCTTTTCTCTCCATTCCCCTTCTCCCTTTCCCTTCCCTTCCTTTCCCTTCCCTTCCCTTCCCTTCCCTTCCCTTCCCTTCCCTTCCCTTCGCCTCTCTCCTTTTCCTTCCCTTCCACTCATCCCCTCCTTCTCTCCTCCTTCTCCTTCTCCCGCTCCCTCAGCCCTTCCCCTTCTCCTCCTCCACCTCCTCCTGCTCTTTGTTCTCTCCCTCATCCCTCCCGTTTTGCTGTGCAAATTCATGCCAAGAGACTAGTTAGGGCAACAAAGTTATGTTGTGTATATTTGGCTACTTCGTTTCTACTTCCCAAATTGTGAGAAATCAAGGGTATTCTTGCAAAGTGAACAGTCCCTCTTAACAATTAACTTCAAGAGAAGCAGTCTACCATAAGCCTTTTTTAAAAGATTTTTTCAACTGAAGTTGATATAATAATACATGAATTCCCAAAATGTCTACCACCCAGATTCAATAATAATCACTGCTTTTGCTACTCTAATTTCACCTGCATTTTTCTTTCTTTATTTTTGTTCAAGTATTTAAAGCAAATCCTAAATATCATGTCACCATGACTCCACTTGTCAGTATATGCTTGTACTGCAATATGTGTGTGAGCATATGTGCATATTTTTCTTACATAACCTCAAAACCAGTATCACATACTAAAAGTATAAAATTAATTCACTGATATTCACTGGTTTACATTCAAAATTTCTCCATAGTTAAAACCTCTTTTTTGGTACTGAAGGTTGAACCCATGGCCTTTACACTGACCTTCAACCCCAGTCCCAGTCCCTTAGCTGCTTTTTTTTTAGATAGTATCTCAGTAATTTACTAAATTGCTCAATCTGGGTTTGAACTTTCAATCCATCCTCCTCAGCTTCCCAGAGTGCTGGAATTACAGGCCTGCACTACCATGCTCAGTGGGTAGAAAATACTTCATAGTTTTGTTTTAATAAGCATCAATATCCTTATGCTGATTTGATTATTAAACCTCATAATCATTTTCTGATAGAAGTCAGTCCATTTGCACTCTGTCTTCTCCTTCTCTTTTTCTTCTTCCTCCTCCTCTTCCTCCCTCTCCTTTTCTTTCTCCCCTCCCTCCCAAATTCAAAATGGCCACTTTGGAACCATGTTGTAAAGTGCCCAGCCAAGGAACCTGGGGTCTTAGCAGTGGACCCTGATATACAGAATCTGTCATTCTACTTGCTAGAGATGAGCTGTTAGAATGAATGTCAATACAGTAACTTCTATACTTTTCACAGATTTAAATGAGGATACAATAGAGGATATTTAGACAAGATTGGGCATGTTTAGGGTGGTATGGCCATAAACAATGGAAGATATTTAGAAATAAAGGAAGGGAGTCACAGGTTTAGTTTAGTGGCTCATTTCACTAACCAAGCAACTATATTGTAAGTGAGGACAGGAAATGGTGTCTGATCTCACAGGATGGCGCATCTAAAAAACCCCAATGTGTGAAATGCACCTGGGTAGTGTGACTTTGTTAGGGTTGGGAAATAGAAACTAAATCTGCCTTTGTCGACAGTAGATTCAAAATGGAGTAGATGGAAAGGATCCATATATGGCTATCAAAGGAAAGGAGGGACTTTTTGCAACTTCTAGAAGTCTGCAGGTGAGAGGAGCTAGAGTCCGAACCTCATGCTTTTTCTCACTGGGAAGATAAGGGCAAATGAGGGAACCAGTGGGAGAGGTGATGAGAGTGACTTCCAGCTTTCAGATTCTGTTGTAAAATCTCTAGATACTAGAACTGAAGTCTCTCATTTATGCCAGTTCATTGTGTGAAAATCAAATAATACAATGGCATGTAGAATAAAATAGAAACTCTCTAAAATCTCACAACTCAAAAATTGTTATTTTGACAAAATTCTTTCTGGATTTTTCCCTGTGCATACATACTCATAAATACACATGTATAAATAGAACCATCTGAATTGCTGATATCTAATCTTTTTAGGCTCAAAATACATCATGGGCATCTTTCTGCATTCATGATAGTATATATTCATAATCTTTACATGATTTCACAGACTATTGATTCAATATAGCAATTTATGTAAAACTGTATTGTATCTTTTTCTCAATGATGTAACAATAATAATTTTTATACTTATGTGAAAATTTACCCATGCTTTCTTTATATTAAAAACACATTTTTTGTCAGATGTCTGCACATTCCAGTTTTACATGTATTTACAAAATTATAGTGTTTTCCAAATATTGTACCAGTTTACTGGCTACGTAATTTTTAATGTTTGGGGATGCCAATCTGTGTTGTATTATGTTATGGATAAACATAGACTTCATAAATAATATTATACATACACACATTCAATCATATTTCCTCCAAATAGTCTTTTAAAGTTTGTTTAAGTGAAAATAAAAACTCCATTATGAACATCAAAGCAGAAGGTTTTCCCTAAGATGTTGATCATCTACATTTATAAGCTCAGAAAAACATGTACAGCACCTAAATTTGCTGGTTTTGTTGTGGTCATTTTAGAGGAAGAGGATGGAACTTCACTCCAAATTTGATTCACATGTCGTTTAATGATGCCACACACACAAACCAAGAGCATATGAAAGGGGTTATTGTTCACTACATGAGATTCTCCAAGTAAAGTAGGACAGATCTAAACTGGACTAATAAGGGCTTTAGAGAACAGCAAAAGGAGACTGGCCCGGGGATCTGATAGTAAATCAGAGAAGGGTTGATGTGAGTGTTCCTGTGTTCAGGCAGAGGCTTGTGTGTTTTGAATTTTTTGCCAGTAACAAAGAGGGGATACCT